TTGTTTCTGTCTGTGGGACGTTGGAGGGCGTCACTGATAGGTCTTAATTTCTTGTCTTGCCCTCTGTTGTTTCTGTCTGTGGGAGGTTGGAGGGCGTCACTGGTAGGTCTTAATTTCTTGTCTTGCCCTCTGTTGTTTCTGTCTGTGGGAGGTTGGAGGGCGTCACTGGTTGGTCTTAATTTCTTGTCTTGCCCTCTGTTGTTTCTGTGTATCTGCCTTGCTACTTCCCTGCAGGCCTATGTAGATATCACGGTTCATTTGTCCCTGCACTAGGCCTATGTAGATATCACTGTTCATTTGTCCCTGCACTAGGCCTATGTAGATATCACTGTTCATTTGTCCCTGCACTAAGCCTATGTAGATATCACTGTTCATTTGTCCCTGCACTAGGCCTATGTAGATATCACTGTTCATTTGTCCCTGCACTAGGCCTATGTAGATATCACTGTTCATTTGTCCCTGCAGGCCTATGTAGATATCACTGTTCATTTGTCCCTGCACTAGGCCTATGTAGATATCACTGTTCATTTGTCCCTGCAGGCCTATGTAGATATCACTGTTCATTTGTCCCTGCACTAGGCCTATGTAGATATCACTGTTCATTTGGCCGTCGGCTTCTTTTCTCCAACTCAAAATCTTACATTGATTCTCTGTACTCAAACAAACAAACAAACAAACAATCAAACAAACAGAGAGGTCATTGTGTGGTGTCTGTCTGTCTGTCCCCAGGTAAAGGTGAATGTGGAGATCAGTTTCTTTGAGATCTACAATGAGAAGATCCATGACCTGCTGGCTGGGAGCAAGGAGAAGGGGGCCAAGAAAGCCACGGTGAGTGTCGCAGTCAGCCGCCATAATACCTGAATATGAAACCTAGGTGTACTACGTGGTGAGTGTCGCAGTCAGCCGCCATGTGTACCTGGATATGAAACCTAGGTGTACTACATGATGAGTGTCGCTGTCAGCCGCCATGTGTACCTGGATATGAAACCTAGGTGTACTACGTGGTGAGTGTCGCAGTCAGCCGCCATGTGTACCTGGATATGAAACTGATATGTACTACGTGGTGAGTGTCGCAGTCAGCCGCCGTGTGTACCTGGATATGAAACTGATATGTACTACGTACTAGACCTGAGCGTTTTCCACTTGACTATTCAACATTCATGATTTGTGCACTATTCACAGCCAGGGGAGTGGGTGGTTGGCGGGTGCTCTGGTGTGGTCTGCTCCTTCTTTCCTATTGAACAACTATTTTCTTTATCTCCCCTCCTTCTTTTTTTGTGTTTGTTACTCTCTTGTTACACCTCTAATCTTCGGCACTTATATGACCTTATTGTGTTGTTAGTGCTGTAAAATACTTTCTAAAACTAAAACTTTTCTCTGAGTGTCTGCGGTTTCTCTCCCCACATGTCTGCTGTGATCAGCTCAAGGTCCGGGAACACCCGGTGCTGGGCCCGTACGTGGAGGGCCTGTCTACCTACGTGGTCAACTCCTTCGTCGACGTGGAGGTGAGTGTACGCCTGTCCGCATGCAGCTTTCGTCTTCATCTGTGTCAGCTTCTGTTGTCTGTCCTCACAGGACTCTGTCATCACCCATGTAACGTCAGCTTGTGTCTTGTCATCATCCATGTAACGTCAGCTTGTGTCTGTCATCATCCATGTAACGTCAGCTTGTGTCTGTCATCACCCATGTAACGTCAGCTTGTGTCTTGTCATCATCCATGTAACATCAGCTTGTGTCTGTCATCATCCATGTAACGTCAGCTTGTGTCTGTCATCACCCATGTAACGTCAGCTTGTGTCTGTCATCACCCATGTAACGTCAGCTTGTGTCTGTCATCACCCATGTAACGTCAGCTTGTGTCTGTCATCACCCATGTAACGTCAGCTTGTGTCTTGTCATCACCCATGTAACGTCAGCTTGTGTCTTGTCATCATCCATGTAACGTCAGCTTGTGTCTGTCATCACCCATGTAACGTCAGCTTGTGTCTGTCATCACCCATGTAACGTCAGCTTGTGTCTTGTCATCATCCATGTAACGTCAGCTTGTGTCTGTCATCACCCATGTAACGTCAGCTTGTGTCTGTCATCACCCATGTAACGTCAGCTTGTGTCTGTCATCACCCATGTAATGTCAACTTCTGAATTCTGTCACCATCTTGTGTCTCTTGTCTGTCTCATCTTGTGTCCCTCGTCTGTCTCATCTGCTTTGACCTTCTCCCTAGCTCAGTACTTTTCTTTTCCCGTGACCAGTTCTATCAAACGACGCTATATCTGGTTATGGCTTGTTCACCTTCGTCTGACCGCGTTAAAACACATTCCAGTCATTTATTTATTTCCCAACGCCCACGAAACTTTGCTTGGCACTTCTGCAGGCCAGCGACCAAACAAAATTATCTTTAAATAAAATCTTGGAACAGTTATAAAAAAGTTTTTCTCTTTGGGCCTTCTATTAAATACCACTCTTTGGATGCACACACAGGATGACTAGAATAAATGACTGACTGTAGCCTTGCCTACTATCTGCTCATTTTGAGACGGCGACACTGCCCCTACATTTCAGTGTAAATTTGTACATGTCATCCCCCGGCTGTCTAGACGTCTCCATGTGAGTCTCGAAAAATACTCACCCTGTCTCTTGAATTGTGTTTCTTAGGTGAACATGAAAGAGTGGTGTTTTATTATTTTTTTTGACCCGCTTTAGGCTTACATCAAAGAAACTTGTCAGAACCTTAGTTTGCTGTGACCTTCATAATAGGGTTTTTAGTTTCTGTTGGTCATCCAACTTTTAGACCTCTATATGCAAGTGGGTGGTTGGCGGGTGCTCTGGAGGGGTTTGCTTCTTCTTTCCTATCACACATCTATTGTCCTTATCTCTCTGGAGGGGTTTGCTCCTTCTTTCCTATCACACATCTATTGTCCTTATCTCTCTGGAGCGGTTTGCTTCTTCTTTCCTATCACACATCTATTGTCCTTATCTCTCTGGAGGGGTTTGCTCCTTCTTTCCTATCACACATCTATTGTCCTTATCTCTCTGGAGCGGTTTGCTTCTTCTTTCCTATCACACATCTATTGTCCTTATCTCTCTGGAGTGGTTTGCTCCTTCTTTCCTATCACACATCTATTGTCCTTATCTCTCTGGAGCGGTTTGCTTCTTCTTTCCTATCACACATCTATTGTCCTTATCTCTCTGGAGGGGTTTGCTCCTTCTTTCCTATCACACATCTATTGTCCTTATCTCTCTGGAGCGGTTTGCTTCTTCTTTCCTATCACACATCTATTGTCCTTATCTCTCTGGAGTGGTTTGCTCCTTCTTTCCTATCACACATCTATTGTCCTTATCTCTCTGGAGTGGTTTGCTCCTTCTTTCCTATCACACATCTATTGTCCTTATCTCTCTGGAGTGGTTTGCTCCTTCTTTCCTATCACACATCTATTGTCCTTATCTCTCTGGAGCGGTTTGCTTCTTCTTTCCTATCACACATCTATTGTCCTTATCTCTCTGGAGCGGTTTGCTTCTTCTTTCCTATCACACATCTATTGTCCTTATCTCTCTGGAGCGGTTTGCTTCTTCTTTCCTATCACACATCTATTGTCCTTATCTCTCTGGAGCGGTTTGCTTCTTCTTTCCTATCACACATCTATTGTCCTTATCTCTCTGGAGCGGTTTGCTTCTTCTTTCCTATCACACATCTATTGTCCTTATCGCTCCTCCTTTTTTGTGTTTGTTACTCTCTTGTAACACCTCTAGTCTTCGGCACTTAAATGACCTAATTGTGTTCCAAGTGCCGTAAAACCCTAACTTAAACAAAAAACAGACCTATTTGTGCAAAGATCTGAGAAGATTTCTGGAGTTTGATTCCCCGGTGTGTTGTACAGACAGTCTCTGTCTCTCCCCATAGATGTACACTATAGTCACTAGATACCGTACGCCCCTCTCTCGCCTTGCTGCGCGATGGCCACATTTGACAGCGGCATCCGCCATGTTTCGGTGGG